AGATATATCACGACATATCTCGAATTTAAGGGAGGTAGTGACTGAACACGCGATAGGCATTCTGAGTGACGTGTTTACCAAACACACTAGACAACAATAAAGATTTTTTGAATAAATTAAACACAACATACACCTTCTACTACGTTCGCTACATACATCTATACACTAATTTGCAAGTCTAATTACAGAGTGAATTCTCGTTTGGTACACTCTCGTATCATGTTATTTTCCTGAAAAAAACAAACAAATGAACAAGGGACTGTATGCAAGTATAGTAGAGGACAGTTTCCATCCACTCTAGCATTCTTTGTCAGCATTTATTTGGAATGTTTTTTTATAAGAAAGTACTCCTTCTTTGTTCTAAAGAGTCCAAGTTTACCAGTTTATTTGTTCTAAACAATGCTTGTTTACTAGAAAAGGACAGTATCTTTGTTTATACTAAGCGAACTGTTTTTCAAAACTTGTCTAGTTTGTTCTTGTATGATTTAATACAACAGCGTTCCCCTGACTATTTACAAAATGGGACATTTTTTGTGGATGCATTAGTTAATTTACATCATTTCAACTTGATAAACTGAGGGAATGAGTATCAGCTGTGAATGAAGAAAAAAGCTTCGTCCTCTGAAATGTATTACAAATACAATAGATGTGCAAAGTTTTATTGAAATTCATTTTAGTGGTTCTTGAAATATACATAAAATAGCTAAAATCGTCCGATTTCATTTATAACTGAAATAGCTCCCATGTTAGCAATGCACATTTCAATTAAAGAACTAGATATCATTAGAAAATGAACAATATGTACAATATCAAAGCAATCAGACTTGCTGTTTTTAACAAGAAGTCAAAAATATCACTTTTTACCAAAAATTATCATCAAAATTAGAGAATTGAAGATATCATTACAAAATAAACGAATCTAAGAGAGGTCTACGTGTAGTACCTATTATATATCTATCTATCTATATATCTATCTATATATAATATCTATCTATATATATATAATATCGAAGCAATTAGAATTGCGGTTTTTAACAAGAAGTCGAAAATATAACTTTTACCAAAAATGACAAAAACATTCATCAAAATTAGTGAATTAAATATATCATCACGAAATTAACAAATCTAGGAGAGGTCTGCCCAGGGTAGTTTTCAAGAAGTTGAAAATGTAAAAAGTTGACACGGACGGCGAACAATCACACATATGATAATCGTCGCTTGAGGTTGGTATTTGCTCACATCCGATCAGGTTCAAACAACAAAGACAGCGTAAAGTACATCTAAACAATACACTCTTTATTCGTACAGTGTTACAAATGAACTACCATGTAACAAGGATGCAGCTGAAGAAATATACAATGAGGTGTCCTTTTATAGGGTTGAGTAGGATTCACATCTCTAGATTAAAGATTGGAGGGAACACAATGATTGGATAGTAATATTGATACATCAGCTTTAACTTGACCTTGCAACTGATTTCTATTGCGTTCGTGCTGATAGTAGTTATTACTAAATGGCTTATATAACTCGAATCTGTTTTTCTTTCCAATAGTTTTACCTGCATTACGATAAAATTTCAGGCATGTAACGACTTTCAATTGCTGTATCTCAGCTAATATAGCTTGGAATTGTATAAAATAAGGACGAACACATACAGTAATATAGTAATAATAATATCACTAAATTACGAATACGAAAAAATAAAACTGAATAAACAACAAGTAATATTAATGAATGAGTATCCACAATACCGCTAGACAAAGTTGACTGCAGAGCTAAAAAATAATCTATCAGTTAGGAATATTGGCTTATAAAACAGTTATATTACATACCTTTAAAGTACGTTCCAGTGCCCTCATCAATTTCAATAGGGTCGGTATATACCCCTCTGTGGGTCACTTATAATTATTTGCAGGGCATATTGAATTACATTGGGGCTGGATTCAGGTTAGGGGTAAGGGGGCTTAAGGAATAAGTATTGCCCAGATATTCTGACATTTGTATTGTTTAAACCGATCAATTTCATTAAAATTAAATTTTATTTGATTGACAAATTGTTTGACTGTTGGTCAAATGGCCCAGGTCTATGCCTAATTAGATTTTATCAGTATTCAATTACAAAAGTGTTGTTTTTGCATTGTAAGCTGATCAGACATTTGGAAAAGAAAAAGTTAAATTCTGTAATTACAAATAGCAGCATTTACAGAAATCTGAAATATATATGAGCCACACCACCAAAATTGGACTGTGATAATGCATATTCAAGTTTGAGTTTATCGAGACCACAAGAAGCTGTTAGCGATTCCAACATGCCTGGTTATTTGCACTATAAGCTTGTCTTCAGTACCAGCAGGTACCGGGTATCATTATGTTGCGTTTCCCATATACATCGTCCTTTGCTTTCATATTAGACTGGCACAGTTGGGGCGATTAATATGTTTTTGTAGTTTAAATAAAAAAAAAATCAGCAAAGTGGAGGTGTTAGCGCGACTGGTTTATTCTGCATGGCCCTCTATCGACACTGCAGGAACCCGTGGATTTTCAACGGGTAATTATGTTAACGAGTGTTCTAATTGACAATCATCTAAGCCAATCACAACGTCTCTTAAACTGAACTCTGACCGAGAAGACTTCGGCTGATTGTAGCAGTTCAAAATGATCCGATTTTTGTTTAATTCTACGACTAGTACGAGTTACTTTTTTGCACATTGTGATGAATTAGAAACGACGACTACGACAAACTCGAATTTCATCGTGCTGCCATGTTGGGTCTGCAGTGTGACCTTTACCATGTTGACCTCATTATGCACGTATTTCCGCTCCGCGCCCACCTAATTATAATATGTGCATTCATGAATATTTAATAGCAATGAATTTCCTGCAGAATAAACCAGTCGGGGTGATTTCGCGCTAACACCTCCATTTCGCGATTTTTTTTATTTTTTTTAAACTACAAAAACAAATTAATCGCTCAGACTGCGCCAATCTACTTTCATATATGCACTATAAACAATCAATGTGACATGATGCATGTATTGCTCATCCAAGACATCATGACTTAATCTATATTCTTATATTTCAGATGTACCTATCTGTGTTGGGTTCTACAACTTACAAGCTCATACATCAGTTGCAGTCAGCCCCACTTGTAATATGTATTCACTACATGTATGTGTACAAATGTTGGTGAATATAAGCACAACCATGTTTTAGTTCCTGTTATAACATGCATTTCAAGTCGTCTCATTTCTTAGATATGCTTTGACCATGTTGTCCAAAGTTGCTGCAACTATTAGACGTGATATAAGTATGTACATCATTCTGTGCGTAACTCGATGACTGACTGGTGGAGATTATTTCTCTGTCTCATTGCTATAAAATAAGTTCCCAATAATTATTATCGATGGCATTAGTAGGCAAGTTGGGTAAATTTACTTGTGTAATAACTATGGATGAGATAATGACAGTGGCTAGTTTCGTACTTTAAACAGTTTTGTGTAACCCCTACACAAATTCATACAGATTTACACTGGAGTTGCATTGCTATCACACGGGGGCAATTAATTCAATCTCTATGCACATGACAGCTTTACATGCATGATTAAGTTCAATTACTTCAAATGTTAGTGTGAAAAATGTACATGAGGTAACCTGTGTAGTGATTACACAAATATAACAACTGACTTATTGATAAATCTACCTGGCACCTGTGTGCAATTTACTCGACTTTGAGCAAAACATTTATTTCTGTGAACCCACACTTCTCGTGTTTCTAACAGTTACATACATTACACAATATTTTATAAATTTGCCTACACATTCATACATCATTTTTATAAGATCAAGTGAAAATGTAACATTTTATTAACAAATTAATCTACAATTCTATACAAGTTCTTTTAAGCTCGAAGTACAAAACAATTTTACTATAATTTCCAGGTTTTGTAATCGTTATATTTATGTGAAATATATTGTAGGTGTAATTGTTCATGATTACAAAAAAATAAACCTGAAAGCTCTTGTTACAGTTACATTACACACACCAAGATTATAAAATTGCACAACCTCAACACATTCATACATCATTTTTATCAGATCAATGAAATATTTTGTTAACAAATTTATCTCAGAACACAACTTATGCAAGTTCTTATTAAGATAGGTGTTCAAAAAATGTTCCTATAATTTCCAGATTTTGTAATCCTTATATTTATGTGAAATATATTGTAGGT